AAAGTTATGCGTGATCAAAGTTTCTATCTCCATCTCACTCGCACTCCCTTTACCTGAGTAACGGGTATCTGATAGTCGGGGCACCCGACTATAGCGTTCTCTCTTGTTAATAATACTTTTGTGTTAAAAGATTTTATAAAAAAGTTTTTATATTTTTATGAAATTTAATATTTTTTAAAAGGTGTTTCCTGATTCGGTTTTAAGTGATTCTTTAAATTTAAGAGAAGTGTCTACCCTTGAAGTGATAATTTGTTTATTGTCATTTTTTTTTTTCGAAAAAATCATGACTAGTTTTACTCATTCAAAAACTGTGTTGCAAATACTTTTGACCACCCCTGTATTCTTGCTTTAAAATAAAATATATATTGAGAAAGAGTTCACCAAGGAAATTTTAAAGAGCGTTTGCCAGAAATTAAATGATTCCAAACTTTAATCTAAGCCCGCGTAAATTAGTAGTGTTTTTTGAGCCAATTTAATTTGCAGTTTGTGTAGTTAACATGCAAAGAACACACCCCCATGTCCACGTGCAGTGCGCCTGCTTCGTCTTTGTCTGTCATTTCGTCCTTTGGCTGTTCAATTAAGCGACACTCTGGCTGCTGCTGCTGTTGCTACTGTGCAAGTTGATGTTGCTGCTGTCGTTGCCAGGCGCCCGACATCTAAGTGGATTCATCAGCCGCGGCATGGCCATCGCCATTCTCATCATCGTCAGCGTGATCATCACCAGAAACGGCATTCTCTTTGCCGTCAGTGCAATTGTGTCGGTGGCAAGCATTCCATTCCGTCTCCATCTCCATTCCGTTCCCGCCGACAATACAAATTAAATTGCAACATCATTGTGCCACGTCGTCGGAATCGTATTGCATCGCTGCTGTCTTTGTAGCCTACTTTTGTGCGCTCCAGAGTTTTACGCTCGCGAGTTTGTCAGCTGTCAGAGGATGGGCGGTGGAGGTATGCCACGCCCCCAGAAAACGCCCACCAACTAATGCCAATGCCGTGCACTTTTATTTGCTGAATTACCCAACCGCCCCGTCCCACCAACTCCATTTTTATTTGCTTTGTTATTCCATTTGCTTTTCGGGGGCGGGCACCCTCTGCGCTTTTATTGTTTAATTAGCTTGAAATGCGTTTATTTTCTTTCGTAAGTGGTGTAAACAACGCGTCAGGTGAAGGTATATATATCTATTTATATCTATTTGTCTCAGGTGATTTGTTAAGTCCCGGAATGTGGCACTAGTAATTCTGCCATTCGTCCCCCACTTTGCTTAAGCCAGCAATTGCACATGGAATTGAATGGTGCCACATGCTGCAAGTGCAGTTAACATTCCGTAGTGGATTTCAAGTGTTTGCCCCTCTTCCGTGGCGTTATCGGGGGTTTATCATGTGAGCGGATCGGATGAAGTAGTCGCCTTTCAGGGAAATGCCAATAACGAGGGCATCAAATTGTATTTAATCTGTGATTTCGACTTAAGGTAAAATTTACTTGCAAGGTTAGTTTTTAATGTAATTGTCTAAATTGGTTATCAAAAAAAGAGAAAAATAACAAATTAAAGAAACAACAAATTCATTAACTATTAATTCTATTCTGAAATATTTAAAATACTAATTATGCAACATTAGATTTCTGTTAAATCCTAAAAATGATGAGGCTGGGCCTGGCCAACCCTAAAAGTTTAATTAACTAGTTACCTCATACAATTTGGATTTGCTACATTATTTACTCAAAAGCCGCACATATTTTATAGCTATGAAATGATTTGCATAATTCAATTACTAAACGTAAGCTTTTGCCAGCTTCGCACGTGGGATTATTTGCGCTTTTGCACACCATCCAAATTATAACAGCTCTTTATTGAATGCGAAGCAAAAATAAATGGCATGTGACAGACGCTTAAGCACTGGCTAAATTTTAGCTTTCACCTGTTGCTAATGGGTGTTAAATATGTCAATTGTTTAAAGGTTCCCTTTAAAGTGCATAATGTGTAATGCAATAAATTAAATGTGAGGGTATACAAGTACTAAAATATTGCCTTATATTTAATCGAGAGTATCTTGATGCATTAAAAAGATTTTTGAGTGTCATACTAAAATATAATGAACGTTTTCTTCGCTCAAATTAACTGGTTAGCCACGGCAGTGTCTCTGACATCAGTTGCAAGGAAATTACAAGCAGCCATTAAATTGGATTGTTGACTGCATACATATCACTCATACGACGCGTTGGCGGCAAACGACCGACCTCGACCCCATTGAGATTGAACCTAAACGGCTTACCAGCGGAGCTCAAGGCAAGCGCTCGATGGCCGGCACAGTAGACACCATCTACTACTCCCAGGACATCGGCCATAAATATCTTCACACTGCCACTTGGACAACAGACTTTGAGCACACACTAAAAAAAGTATGATAACTTTTAACAATTTGATTAGTCTTAAAATGATTTTTCTACTACAAATATGACCCGCATTGCTGAAAATATAAATTTTACTAAGGAATTCCGAAAGTACATTTATTTTGATAAATAAATAATAAATAATTTAAAACCAGCATTTACTTTATTTAGAAAATACCTTTAAAATGTTTATTTTTTTTTTGTTTTGTCTTTTTTAGGAAATGTTACAGATACAATTATTTTTACATAGTCAAAGAAGACTCTACTTTAAGCCAACTTTTAATTTGTATGCCACATAGTGTAATAATATAAAATATTTAATTCATGGAAAACACAAGTGTTTTTTCACTGTGCAGCATCCTTTATTGTCCAGTGTCCTTCGTCGAATGCCTCTGCAGCAGCAGTTGACTTTTGCCGCATTGGCGCCTGGCCCCCAGAGCATTTTGCCCGGTTTTTTATGCTCACAACTCAATTTGAAGCCAACTGGACGAAGTGCGTGCCCAACTGGCCGAGGAACACAAGGAGCCGGCAGAAGGAACAAAAGCAATATTAGAATTTGTTGCCGGGCCGTGCGGCTTTTGTGGCACTTCTCATTGTTTTTCCCACAGCATCCTTGTTGCTCCTGCCTTTTCTCCGTCTGCTCCAGCCGCACGACAGCTTAACCCCAGCACAGCGTTTAAGCTGCACAAGTTTCGAAACAAATCCCGCACAGATCCATAATTCTTTTCCGCACCTAAAGTGACAGAGATCTCGGCTTAGTGTGCCGTTGCCGTTGCCTTAGCCATCTTAATGTTTAATTTTTATGCCAGCCCCTAAATTATGCAAGGCGCCAGAGAGCCACTGAGATTTCCCCAATTCCCACTGCTCGATATGAAAAATAGATAATAATTTCATTCGGCTGCGAGGTGAAGGGGAAAATCACAGATAAATAATAGAAAACGATGAGAGACACATAACAAATTGTCAATTTATAAAGTGAAAGTTTTTGGCCGGCTAATGGATGCCAAAAGTTGAATAAATAATAAATTAACCGAATACTTTTGCGGTTAGGACCGAAAAACAAAGCGAAATGAATTGAAGTAAAATGCGGGAATGGATTCTCCACGGAGCAATAGCTGTCATAAAAAAAGAGGAGGCCAGAAAACGTGAAAAGGCTCAAAGAAAACCGCAGGGCAGGTGGCAGTGGTGGGGGTGGTGGTGCTTGGGGGTGGTGAATTTTCCTTCGGCGGTCATGGGGCAATAGCTTAAAATTAGCCATAAGCAAAATTACTGTAAAATGGTTTAAATGAGTGTAAAGGCAGAACATAATAAGCCCAAAAGAAGCGCATAATAAAAAGGCCAGCGCCGAGTGGTCCGCGAAACAAAGGTCGCGGTGGGTGGGCGCCACATTGCCACCCACCTCCCGTGGGGCGTGCTGTTAAATGAAGAATAAAGCAGCAAATACAAATACGAAATGTGCCTTGCAGCCTGCCTAAATACAGTCATACAAAAATAATAGGATTTTTACTTTAATTAAAATTTTTTTTGTGAATTTTACATTTAATTGGTCTATATCAGATATGGGCTGTCATAAAGCAGTGAAACTATGCATTTTTGTTGATTTGATTTGAAACTGCAATCCCAAATGTATAAGGAAATGTAAATAGCTTACTTTGGGTTTGGCAAATTAATATTAATATAAACACCAAGAACATAAAAAAGAACGAAAAAATATTTTCTAAGTCAACAAAAAATGACAATATATTAATAATATTTATTAATTAAAATTAAAATGTTTTTAAGGTTAAAATGTTACTATACAATTGGTTTAGATAACCATTTTGAATGAAATAAAATAATATTTTAATTTTTTTAAAGCCAACATATCATATGATTTTAAAATATTTTTACTCTATTTCCTCATTTTAAATATATATATATATATATTAAATTATATCTAGAGTTCATTTCTGTTATTTTGCCCACCATTGTATTTCACTGTGTGAGTTGGAGTCTGATGGCAAACATATTTTATGAGTTTTATTGTTGCTGTTGCTTTTTCTTGTCTCCTGGCGAGGCTGATAATAAAACTTGGCCGATGGCAGCCAGCGCAGCCCGCTGGGAGCATAATCGAGCCTTTAACATTGGTCCTGGGTGCCGGCACATGTAGCTGTGTGGGTGCCCGGCTGAGAGTGTATGTGTGAGGAGTGTGTGTGAACGCAGCTTGATTTCATGTCTGTAAGCTAAGAAAAAATATCTAAAAAGTCCGCAGCTTTCTTCGAATTTCTCACACACTTTAGATTTTTTTAAAATGTATTAAATAAATATTCATTTCATTGGAAGAGCCGAAAGATACATTAATCATTTGTGGAATTAAAACGCACTGACATTTCGATTTCTGAGAGTTGCCCATGATTTTAAGTGAAAAATATTATTTATGTCTAAAGTCCAAAGTGATAAGTGTCTTTTAAAGCCTTCTATTTTGTGGCTTGCTGAATTATTAAATAAGCTCTGAAGAATTCCTAATCTTATATGTTCATTTTATGCTGAATTCAACAAAAATTACAACATGCTATTAATCATGCTTTTATCTTATAATCAAAACACCTTGTGGTAATTTGTTATTGTAAAAAACAATGATAAATAATAGCTAAATATTGTGTATTATTCTTTCCTGTTGTGTCCAAGAATTAATTCAAGTAGGAGGCCAAAGCTCTCCTCTAAGTTGGATACACCTGAATGCATCGGTAAGGTGCATGTAGTGCTTTCCATGTTTCATATTTTTCACTACTTTTATTCCAGCTCTTGTTTTAACAAAATTGAAAATGCAGGAGTGCACCAGGAGCAAGAAAAGATATTGCCCCAAGGACTCGCCTTAAATACCCAATGCGACTTTGACAAGCCTCATTAAGGATGGATACATCGATGGAGAGCTGTAATAAGGCTTGTAATAAAACAATGCTTTTGCATTTTGGTTCTCTTATCTGTTCAAGTACGGACCATATTATGCACTTATGCTGCTTAATATGCTTTTTGCTCACATAAAATGCTTTAAGGCGTGCAACAAAAAAAGAACCTGAAACTGGATTGACAACAGCATGAGCATATTCAAATTGCTTTCGGGCAGTTAATAAAAAGCTTGTAATCAAGTGGGACGGCAGTGGAGATTGGGTGGCAGCAAACTTTTAGCTTCAGTCAAGTCACAAACTTGGACATGTCAGGCAAAAAAAATAAAAATAAATAAAAAATAAAAAAGAGGGGGGAAATATGCAACTAGGATATGCATGAGCAGCAGCTTATGCACAGCATAGCTCATGAGTTTTGCATGGAGTTGTGCAGTTGATAGTTTGTTGCAGGACGAGATGGAAAAGTATTTGGAAAAGGAGCAGGCGGCTCCTGGCACTTATCCGAGTGCACAAAGCAGCTAAGCAAAACACTCGTTGCAGCCAACTTAAGGCTAATTTAAGTGACTGAATCTGTATCTATCCGAGTGAGTGGCTGTGAGTGCGAGTGTGGCAGTGTGTGTGCAGAGTGCGTGTCTCTCGCTCGCTCTCGCTGCCTTTCGGCAGGACTCTCCAGGGAGCTGCTCCGACTTTTACCTGGCCCAAAGTGTCCCGGGTTAAGCTGCTCGCCTGCCTTTCCGTTCAGCTTGCCATCATCAATGAAAATGCTCGTAAATTATGCAAGCCTAGGAAAATAAGCTGCACTCAAGTGCGTTTCCTTCCTCGCCTTAGCAGTCTTCATCCTCCTCTGCGAGCACTCCTCGTTTCTTTGCCTGCACTTTGCGACGGCGCTAAGTGGGGCGTATGCGTGATATTCGATTAAATTACATAACGGCCACGCAGCGTTGCCGCCTGTTAACATCGTCGAGCTGGCTATCTAAAATTGTTGTCTCAATTTGTAATCTCCTCTGTGATTTATTACACTTCAAAAATAACTCTTTTAAATTTTGGCACTATTAATTTAAATAAATTAGTATAAATTAAATATATTTTTGATATCGGCGCAATTTAGGTCAAGGTAACTTTTTTTCTCGTATATCATTATTAAATGAGTCGTGCGAATAAAAACACTCTTGACTAGAGAAAACCACAAGCTTAATGTCAAGGCATTAATCTTAAATTAAGAGTTAAGGGGTATATTGAATTCATGATCAATACCGAAAACTCAGATCATCTAGTCATGTTCATCTGACTATATGTTAGCATGAACATTGGGTTTCCAAGGAACTACATGATCTATTCTAATTATTTCAAAAACTCCGAAAAATTATCCAAAATTAATAGTAAATATATTTTAGCATCTCATTTTAGATCCCGAGGTTTCACAGCAGAGATGTGAAAAAGTTTCTTTGTTTTTTTTATGGTTTAATATATTGGTTTTACCATAGAAATGTGTTTTTGGTTTATTCAGTAAGGCCTGTTCGACCATTTGCGGATTTAATATAACATTGGGTATTTATAGTTTGTAAAATATTTATTAAGCGGTGCCAATAAAAACACCCAAAAGGTTCCCTAGGGAAAATTCTTCTGAAAACCATTAGATAGTAAATTGGGCTCACACTGGAAAAAAACGGGCTTCTAAAAATGAAATGAAACTAAGAATTTTTTTTTCATGAGACCCAAGTCTCGTTTTAATTAAAAACGATAAGTTAAAGACGAAGGCTGAACACATTGTTAATAATCTGTTAAGCAATTTTAAAGATACAACTAATCAATAAGTTATTTTCTTAGTTTAAAATAGTTTAATTATCTAAATTTGTTTCCCTGTGTAACTAGGCCCTTTGTGGTTATTGATTTTGTGCCATTAGAATCAATATTGTCCCTGCTGTGCAAAAGATTACGTGGAGGAATGACAAGGTAATAATTTAAATTGACACTTAACGAAATAATGGTATGCTCGTCATTGTTCCGTATTCAAAAAACAATACATTTAAAATAAGCACCATTTTTTATATTGTTTAATTTTATTTGGATCTTTATTTTTAATGAGACTTATATGATGTCATAATATGGAAAAGTAAGCATTGTTTAATTTTATTTATTAAAAAGGACTTGGACACTACAATTATAATTCTTATTGCTTTCAAAATTTTAAATCAATTATTATGTTGACTAAGTATTACAAATTTAGACTAAGTGCTGTCGGACAATATTTGGCTCAGTGCAAGCCTTTTCAAGTTCATAATTGAAACTGAAACTATAAAAGGCTCATGGCTTAAGCCCTCCACTCAAATGTGCAATCGAGTTGCATCCGTCATGGGTATCAAGTCAATTAGGAAGGTCGATCCCGTTGAAGATTCGAAGAAAGTGTATCCAACGGTCAAGGATTTTTTAAGGCTACCAGTGATCTACTACAACACCGTTGGCCTGGAACCCTACGACTCCTCGATTGGCGACAAGAAACGTGGAATCCTTTTCCACTTGTACTTCGTCTATCAGATAACCAACTTGCTCTTTTGGTTTTCAATGGAATGCCTTTATGTGGTAGTTTCCTTTCGGAACAACGAGAACTTCCTTAATGCCACCATGGTGCTGGGCTATGCCGGTTTTGCTGTCGTTGGTGCCATGAAGTTCATCTCGGTGATGATTCGGAAAAGCAAGATGACCATTCTGGTGAAGCAGTTGGAGTCGAACTTTCCGCCTCCGCGAGCAAAGGAGCAGGAGGAATATGCAGTCGCTTACTACCTGAAGCGCTGTCATCGGTTTACCAAGGGATTTGGACTGCTCTACACGAGCTTGGTTGTGATATACAACCTTTTCGAAATCCTCCAGTACACCATTCGTTCTCTTCTCAACTCACCGAACGCCAAGCAAACCCTGCCCTTCGTGGACATGGCTCTTTGGAACTACAAGGACAGCTGGCTGTTCTACGTGACCTACCTGTCGCAGACGGTAGCGGGATATATGGCCACTTGTGGTCACATTTCCGCTGACCTCATGATCTTCTCCGTGGCCATGCAGGTGATCATGCACTTCGATCGCCTAACTCTGGCTCTCAAGAACTTTCAGGTGAAAAACAGTTCTGGATCCGAGACAGGTGCTGAAGAGGACCTGAAGGAGCTGAAGCCATTGATTGCCTATCACAACCAAATTTTTGAGTGAGGGGCTAAGACATTATTTTTCTGCAATCAAATTCTGCATTTCTAAAGCACCCCTATTTTAATGAACAACATTTTTTTATTTCTTATTTATTTGTATATTATTGCAGAAATCGAACTGCTGTATCATTTGGCAGTAAAGATTAAGAAAGTTAAGAAATATGGTATAACTTATTTTACTTCAATATATACCCTTCGACCTCGATATGTAGCATTATTTCATATATTCATTTGTTTTGAATCCTATTATCCTTAATTCTACGGTTTTTTTTATTTAGTCCAATAATATTGTATTGAATCCTATTATCCTTAATTCTATCTGCTATAATATAGAAAGATAAAGACATTTTAAAAGAGTATATATAAACATTCAAAATGTATACATGATTAATACATTGTTTTTTTTACTGCAAGCGTACATAAACTTTGACTTACCGAAGCTAACCCCATTTCTTCTCATTTAAAATTAAAATTTTTTTTATTTTCAAACTTATGCAGGCTCACGGAAGTAATGAACGAGGTTTTTGGCATCCCGCTGCTAGTGAATTTTGCTTCGTCCTCGATGCTCGTTTGTTTTGTGGGATTCCAAATGACCCTTGGAATGAGTCCGGATCGATTCGTGAAGTTGCTGCTTATCCTGGTATCGGCACTGATTGAGATATACCTACTCTGTTTATTCAGCCAAATGTTGATCGATGCGGTTTGCTGATTGTTGAAGATTATTGGGAAAGCCCCTTTAATTAAAATATTTTTCAGAGTGCGAGGGTGTCCTATGCTGTCTACGACATGAATTGGATGCAAGCCGATTCGCGTTTTCGCAAGATGCTCATTTTCCTGATTCTTAGGTCTCAAAAACCGGTGTGTCTAAAAGCGACGGTTTTCTTAGACGTCTCCATTACAACAATGAGTTCCGTACGTTATTGTAGTTTTTTTAAACATATTTAATTTATTTGTCTATTTTTCCACAGTTTCTGCAAATGTCTTATAAATTCTTCTGTGCGATTCGGACGATGTATCAGTAAATGGAAGATTTCCCAAAGTTAAGCAGAAGAGTCAGCTAAATAATCTACAAATAATAATAATTAATATCTGTATTAAAAATGCAAGTGAATAACCACAAGCATAATATCATAATTAAAACCGCAACTATTGAACCCTATATTAGCTTTACTTAAGCCAACTTTTCAAAATATGCACCTGCCCTAACAATATGAAATATATTTCAGATAGTAAAATGTAAATGTTTATTGCCACGCATAACTTTTTAATACTTTTTCGCTGTTATTCACAACATGACGATAAACTTTTTAATTAGGCTAACGTGGTTTATGCGACTTTAATTAGATCACCTGCAAAGATGAAAAATGATTAACGTGGGAAAGTGCGGAATAACCAGCAGTAAGCCTGGTAAAAAGGAGCAATTTTAAATGCCGACTAGGGCGACTTTAAGCTACATCACTGGAATGTAAACAAAAAAGAGTGCAGCCTGAGTTCAAAGCGGGAAAAGGAACACAAACACAGGGGCAAAGAGGAAAAAGTTGCACAAGGTGAAGCCCCAAAGAGGCAAAACCTTCGCACACACATGCAAAAGAAGGCGTGCCACGGTCGAAAAACTTGAGCCACGTTGAACTTTGGCCTTACTGAGCTTGGCCGCGTTTACCTTGGCCGTAAACTTGTCCCGGCGACTGGCTGGCAATTAGTGCACCTTTCACAGCTCACCTGTGAGCGTGGACCAGTGATGGAAAATATCTAGGTAAATATTCCTCTGTACTCGTAGGGAAACTTAGTCACAGATACAAGAAAAAGTTTTAGTACTTATTTCTTCAAATAAACTAGGTTCAATGGTTGACAATTGCATCAAATATTCCTAACAATAGTAATCTCAAATAATTTTATACTGAAACTTTTTCCTTATTAATACCTTTGTATTTATTCAACGTATATACTTTTGCTAATCTATAAATAAAATATTTAAAGAACTTATTTTACTTAAATTAAATAAAATTTGTTGTATTGTTTATGTTTATGTTATATTGTTCAATTTCAATATTTTTTTTTATTAAATATTTTTATCTGAATCGTACCTGTGATATATAAATATTGTATAATTACTGTGCTTTTTTTAATGCTTTGCTAACAATATTGAAATTTACATATATATATTTTATTTATATCACGAATAAAATATATTTCTTAAATGATGTAGCCTGAAAAATATTATGAACAACCTTCAGTCATATGCAATACACTTTACTTCTTACTAAGAACAGGTACCTCATACATCTCTGTGACGAATTTTTTTTGCTTACCTAACTGAATATAATAAATTTCCCTTCACTTCTGTGTGGGCGTGGCCATTTAATTCATTTTCAGGAGCACAAGAAACAGGAAGCAACGAACACTGTCGCTTTTGCACACAATTTCTCATTCAGTTCAGAAGTTTTGCTCGCTCACAAGTTTGTAATTCTTGGCCTGTTAACAAAGTTCATAAATACTTGAGAAACTTGGTTGGGCTTACCCGGCCCACAGCCAGAGTCAAAGGATAAGCGACGGAGCCAGATTTCTCAGCCTCGTAATTGGTATTGTACTTGATTCCAGCTCACAGGTGAGAACAGGTGGGACTGCAGTTCATTATCAGCTGATTGGCGGGTCGAGTGATTCTCGAAATTCCGCGGCAGTCATTAAATTTCCCGGCTATTCGCAGTTTCTTTTATGGCCAGCTAAATTCCTGTTTTAATGGCTGGCAACTATTTGGTAAGTGCCTTGACCATAAAATCGAATCGACCATATTGAATACTTAGTTATATATTGCTCGGCGTCCGGAGAACAATTTCAAGCTCTCACATCCACCATCGATTTCCCCTCACCAGCAGACAGAAGCACAGCGATTGCAATTGAAAAGCGCGGCGGAAAACCATTGGGGGAAAATCCATCCCACCGTTTGCCAATATCGATGAGATCTCCGGAACCCGGACTCAATTCGCTTTGTTGCTCATTCGCCGCTTTGGCCCGACTTACCCACTTCCTTCTTCCCTCCAGCGAGCATTTGAAATTTTAATTATAAAATATTGCTGGCAAAAGTTCTCAGGTCGGCAACGCCAGACCGTGCTGATGTGTTGGATGTGTGCTATCAAAGGCGATGGCTGGAGCTACAGTGGGTTCTGCACAAAATATTGCAGCCAAAAAAAAAATAAAGTTCTTTCATCGGAGGGGGAAGTCCCTAAAAATGTTTAAATAGGGAAATAGAAAAGTATTTTTATTCATTTTATTTCGATATAAATGTACTTGTCTTATTATGAAACAATATTCTTAATATTCTTAAATGAAGTTTAAGGCTTAGGTTTTATTTCTCACCATGTATTCTTATTGTTTTTTTATTGAAATAAAGCAAGAGCTTTTGAAACATTTAATACATTACATTTTTCCTAGAATTACAACAAACCCTCTTTGTAAATTTATTTTTATTTAAGTAGATGTTCCACATATGCAGATTCTGTAAAACTAATAGACAATGTGTTAAAACTGTCTATTAAAATAGTGCTCAGAATTGTAAAAGTTATAATAATTATTAAAATTAAATGGAAGAGTTGTTATAATTCAAATCTAATGGTTTGTTTTTATTTGCTCAGATATTTCTACAAAACTGTACACAATAATTTAAAAATTTTTAATAAATTTATATTTAGCTAATCCGTAAACAATGGACTTAATTCTTTAATATATTTTTGTTAACTAAAATGAGTAATAAAATATTTTAAGGATACATTCATTTCAATTAGAATTAAAAAACTGTCCAAAGAGATGACCATAAAAAACGATGGGATGTTTTAAAGTAGTTGAGCCTTTCAGGGACATCCCTGTATCCACAACTTGTCCTGCGTCCACGACACTAGTGACTTCCCCACCCACCCGTAATCACCTTACACACACTGTGTCCATGCGTCCTGTCAGAAGTTCGTGCTGCAGGCATTCCGTCGATGGTTCGTTATCTGGCATTTGGCATGGGGCTAGATCAATGTGGCGCAGGTGAGTGGCACAGGTGATGCAGTGGGTCCGCCCGTCCAGGTTCGAGGTCCCTTCTCAGGCGGGGGGCCTGTGCACTACTTCAAAAAGTAATTGTTTGCGATTTGGAGAGTGTGGCGTATGTCGGGAGCCATTGCCGGGGATTGGGATGCAGTCAGGCAGTCAAAGGACGGCGAGACTCTTGAGACATTTGAGTGGCCAAATGGGAGGCAGGCGGAGCAGATTTTGGGGGCATAACGATGACAGCAAACGAGCTGCAGTTAAAGCTGCCTAGGGCCAAAACCTCCTTGTTTCCTCCTCCCTCCATTTCCCCATCATTGTCTCTGTCTCTGGCAGTGACTTTCGCTTTAGCAACGAGTTTATTTGCAGTCGAAATATGTCCCCAGACGGCAACAATAGCAATTAGTTCATTGTCAATAGTTTGTTCGTTGAAAATTTCAGGACTAGAAAAGGCAAGGCTAGGAAATCGTCGGGGAGGAGGCGGCAAGTTTAACTAAATTGTAATCGGAATATGCGCATGCAAATGGCATTAGCCTGAAATGCAAATTACTTTACGGCATGCCAGTCGGAAATTCAGACGAAGGATGCCAAGGACAACTGCCATGATGATGGGGATTCTGGGGAAATAGGATGCACTCAAATTGCCAGCGCTTAAGTGAAGTAAGCTAATTAATTTTGCATTGTGTTCTGACCCTTATGCCATACCCTCCGATTTGGGCCCATGGATTGCGAATCCTTTGTGCCCCGGATGTTTACTTTTCATTAATTGAGTTGTGCAAAAGTCGTCCATAATTTCCATGCGCCAGTCGCGCCTGCTGGCCATTAAGCAATACGCCAATTTCGTACCCGTTTTCCCCCCAATTTCCCCGACAATTTTCCCCAGCATCATCCCATGGCGCCACCCTGTTAATGACGTCGTTGAGTGTCTTGACGGCAATTGTGCAAACTTTATATTATCATCGCTGACATGGCCCAAAGAGCATTTACCCAAGGAAAATCCTTTTATTTTCGCCGTAATTTTATGTATTCCCAATTTGGGAAGTGGAGTGCGTATGAGGATCAACTTACTTTGCAGTGCATCGATACGTGATTGCTTCGAACGGCTGGGCCCTTTGGGATACCGATGGCTTAATGCACAATTATCCACTGAAAACTTGTTAATTTTACATTATCTCTCTCGGTGAAGACAATCGGCTGGATGGAATCTTCATAATCCAATAATTACAAAAAGCCTGTTATTGTTTTGGCATACATGGATTCGTGCAATTTCAATTGCAAATTCGTGTTTTGCTTAAATACAACGTGTAATTGTCTAATTAAAATGCTTTAATTGCTAATGTAGAGCCCTGCTTTATATTATCTTTGCATGCTTGTTAAGCTCTATACTGTTTTACATGAGTATTTGATTAACTGTAAGGGTGATTTAGCTCTTTAATTCCTAATAAAGGAAATGACAATGCTTTCAAATAATCAGGTTAATATTTAAAAATGTTTTATGATTAGGAAACAATTTAAATGTTTTCAAATTTATGTAATGTGCTCACACGAATAAATTATAAAATTATTAAACCTTAAAATATAGCTACTATGTAAAAAATATAAATATAAAATAAAAAATATAAAAGCTAGATAAAATCTAGATGAAATCTAAAGAATAAAAGATTATTGTACTTTACTTTATATATTATATCTTTACTTTATACAAATAAAGTGCCTAAATTTAAATTCCTACTGCAAGTGGTTAGTTATTTATATACTATATATGATGTTTATCAACTAATACATTCCTCATTATTCGGACGAGAATATATCCATTAAAATAAAGCCCAAGGCTGCGACATGCAATTCCCGATGTCACTTGGAGCACAATTACCTGGAGGGTCAATTGGTTGAGTTCTGATTTAATTCCTGTGCCCTAACATATGCCATCCAGCGAATTTCCGCTTCATTACGTTCGCAAACAAGTTCGGTGCGAGTGCGAGGGTATATATATTCCATATAAAATG